CCTCCGCGCTCGGCCACTGCCACGCTGCACGTGCTCCTGGTGGATGGCTTCTCCCAGCCCTACCTGCCGCTCCCGGAGGCGGCCCCGGCCCAGGCCGAGGCCGACTGGCTCACCGTCTACCTGGTGGTGGCATTGGCCTCGGTGTCGTCGCTCTTCCTTTTGTCGGTGCTCCTGTTCGTGGCGGTGCGGCTGTGCAGGAGGAGCAGGGAGGACTTAGTGGGTCGCTGCTCGGTGCCCGAGGGCCCCTTTCCAGGGCATCTGGTGGACGTAAGCGGCACCGGGACCCTGTCCCAGAGCTACCAGTACGAGGTGTGTCTGACCGGAGACTCAGGGACCGGCGAGTTCAAGTTCCTGAAGCCTATTATTCCTAACCTTTTGCCCCAGGGCACTGGTGAAGAAATAGGGAAAACTGCCGCCTTCCGGAATAACTTTGGATTAAATTAGAGATCTCGTTATGACACATTGTTTTCTGCCATTTATCCCAAACTTTTTCAGATCTAGAATTCGAGAGTGTCATGGACAAAAATTTCACCTTGAGATTTAGCTTTTATTTCCCTTTTTAATGGATTTGTCTGCTGAACTTTATTCTGTCCAAGTATTGAAAACTCAATTTTATTTCATTGCATTTATTTACATAGGGTCATTCCAAATCCATGCATGCTGTTGATTTTCCTGAGATATTTTTCTCTTCTTGTTGGTACTTGTTGTGATAAACCATCTTAATAAAATCAAATATTAATTTTATTTTCTATATATTCTATCCATTCTATTTCATGACACTCAAGTATTATATATTTGATGCTAAAATGCAAAAATTAAAAATGTTTCAAATCATTGTATTTTAATTGTTTAAAACAAAGACAAATACATACATATGCTAATAAATATGTGAAAAAAATATGTAAAAGGCAGCAATCTTCTATTTACTCTTTTTTGCAGCCCTGATTCCTATTAGCAAACTTTTAAAAAACAGTGTAATTGAATTATTACTTACATGAAGAAAAGTGAACAAATCCTTTATGTTCAACTCAATATATATTCACAAAGTAACATATTTAGTACCAGCAACTTGAAGAGGAAATGAAACATCACTGGCACCCCAGGTGCCACACAAATTACTCCTTACAATCACTACTAGCCCAAGTATGGCAAATATGCTGACTTCCTATACTATAATTTATATAAACAGAGTAATAGAGTATGAACTGCTTGTGTCTGGCTTTTTTCACTCAGCATTATGTTTATGAAATTTATCCATAATACAGCTTTTAAGTTTAGTCCTTTCATTCTCATTGCTGTATAATATTCCACTGTATGAATATACTATAATTTATTTTCTATCCTTTAGATCAGTATTTGGGATAGGGCAAAGTTTGGCTGTTACAAATGATACTGCTATAACCATTATTTTAACATGCCTTTTGGCAACCTGTATATGCAGTTTTGTTGGGTATATGCCTAGAAGTGGAATTGTTGCCCATCTTGTAAGTACATGTTTACTTTTAGTAGACATTTCCCAATAGTCTTCCAGTGGTTGTACTAATTTACACTGCTATCCCCAGTATCTGGATGTACAAATTTTTCCACATTTCTGCCAACAAACTAGTATTGTCTGTTTTTTCATTTTATCCCATTGGCAAGCACTTTATACATTTTTTAAAACTCTTCTTATATTTACTTTCTTATCACTAAGGAATATGTTTGTAACCATTATGAGCTGAACTGTGTTCCCAAATCCCCCTCAAATTCATATGTTGAAACCCTAACTCCCACTACCTCAGAATGTGACTATATTTAAAGATAGGCCTTTAAAAAAAGAGGTAATCACATTAAAATGGGTCATCAGGGCAGATCTTAATCCGATATAACTGCTGTACTTATAAGACGAGGAGATTAGAACATAAAGAGATGCCAGACATGTGAACACACAGAGGGATGTTTATGTGAAGACACTAGAAGAAGATAGCCATCTACAAGCCAAAGAGAGAGGCCTCCAAATGAAACCAACCCTGCCAACACTTTGATCTTGGACTTCTAGATTCCAAAACTGTGAGGAAAGAAATGTCTGTTGTTTAAGCCACCCAGTCTGTGGTATTTGTTACAGTACCCCTCGCAAACTAATATAGTAACTTTCACAAACTTTAGACAATTTCCTATTAAGATTGCTGAGTAACTAGCACACTTAAAACAACTTCAATCTTTTGTTTTTCGGATAAAGCTATATTACCATTTTTGGGTACTTCTCTGGTCAAACTGAAACCTCTCTTTATTGTTCCAGTAATAACAGTTTCATTAGATTTTTGTATGGAAAAAAAGAATATCATTCTTGGCCGGGCGCGGTGGCTCACACCTGTAATCCCAGCACTTTGGGAGGCCGAGGCGGGCGGATCACAAGGTCAGGAGATCGAGACCATCCCTGGGTAACACGGTGAAACCCCGTCTCTACTAAAAATACAAAAAATTAGCCGGGCGCCTGTAGTCCCAGCTACTTGGGAGGCTGAGGCAGGAGAATGGTGTGAACCTGGGGCACAGGGCGAGACTCCGTCTCAAAAAAAAAAAAAAAAAAAAAAGAATATCATTCTTATTCTTCCTTTTATATCTGTTTCTCTCTTACACTTTCCAACCTCTCTCAGTTAACTTCTACTTTTACATTTTACATTTTTACAACCATAGCTAAGAATTACTTGTCTTGTCTATAGATATATTTTAGAACATGAAGATAATATTTAAAATTTACTTTTCATGACTATATAAATTATGAATGCCCTGCAGTCCCAAATTACCAAGAACACACCGTATCAGAGCAAAGTTGGGTTTATTGACTTGTTGCAATGAAGGAGACTGCTCACAGTAGGAAACAGGGGCCACTTTAGTAACAGAGTCTTACAAAGGAGTTATAGGATTTGGTCTTCTGTTAGGTGTTTTTAACAGAGATGCAACAAGTACAGGTTAGCTCTGGATTGGATGCTTTCAGAAAATTGGGGTAATTCTGTATTATTTTAATGAATTTCACTTAGGAAGTGGGAAAAACACTGAAATTAAATCTGTAATTGGTAAATAAGCAGCATTCGCTCATACTAGCAAGGAAAAAGAGCTCTTCTGTTTTTTCTTTTTTGTTTTAGACATTGTCTCCTCAAGCATGAAGTCTTGCTCCATCAGGGTTACAAGGTTATTTTCTGGTCTTGGTGTTGTATGAAATTGTTTGCATTCAATAGGAGAAGATTATGACCGACCTATAAGTGTCAGAACAGTTCCAGGTTGTTGGGCTGATTATCTTCTCAAAATATTGTTCATTGCTGAGCCATATTACTTACTGAAACCTCTAAGTAGTCTGGGATTACTTAGGGATATAAGTAATCTTAGATCTGAGATTACTTCATTTCTACTATTATTTTCTTAATAGTGTATCCCTAAGTTTAATCTTGTTATTCCCATCTGAGATTTGTGCTTGTCCATTATTAAATATTCTTAATGAAAATTTTAAAAAACAAACGAAAAAAGATATTGAATATTCTTAGTTATTTTTCTGTTCCTTATATTTCCTTTATTTTACATTTTTAGCTTTTCTTCTATATCCTGATGTCTCTCACTTTATTTTTTAGTGATAGGGACTATCTTTCCTGCTCTTTGGATCCAATGTTGTGCTTCCTGTACCATTGAAAACAGTATGTTCCTAAAATCAAGACCAAATAGATTCATCATTTTAAACTTCATTAGTTGGCTTTTCAAAAGATATTTTCAAAATCTCAATCAATAATTCACTTTACCACATTTCCTAACCTGAAGCCCTCTAGCTTTCTGCTTCCATCTGGACTAAATGATCTCTAAGTCTGTACAAAACTGTCACCTTGTCTTCATACCTCTCCTGGTTGAGTCAGATCACTTGTCTCCCTTTTTATTCCCTCTCTTTGCTACAATATATCCTGAAATGTCTTCCTAAGGGAGGGTTCACAAAAAAACAACTTTCTGCATCGCTGCCAGTCTGAAAATGCATTTAGTTTTCCTTCATATTTAATTGATTATTTTGTCAGATACAGAATTATTGCTTGGAAATTTAAAATCATTAATATATTGATTATTGATTCATAATTTTTGATTAAAAATTTTATGCCAGTGTGATTCTTGATTTTTTATACCCCCATCTCTCTCTCTCTCTCTTTCCATATTTCTGTAGAGAAAAGAATTTTTTGTGTCTCCTTCCCTCAGAATTTTCTCTCTTCTTTTTAGATGTCTTGAATTTCATAATAGTATTATAATTTTTTCATTCATTTTGCTGAACACTCAATGTACTTGTGTATTCTAACAATTTATACCTTTTTATCTCTGGGATTACTTCATTTCTATTATTATTATTATTATTATTATTATTTTGAGACAGATCTCACTTTGTCGCCCAGGCTGGAGTGCAGTGGTGCAATCTGCAGTCTTGCTCACTGCAACCTCTGCCTCCTGGGTTCAAACGATTTTCCCGACTCAGCCTCCTGAGTAGGTAGGACTATAGGTGCACACCACCACATCCAGCTAATTTTTTTTTGATTTTTTTTTTTTTTTTTTTTAAATAGAGTTGGGGTTTCACCATATTGGCTAGGCTGGTCTTGAACTCCTGGCCTTAAGTGTTCTACCTGCATCAGCCTCCCAAAGTGCTGGGATTACAGGTGTGAGCCACTGTACCTGGCCCATTTCTACTATCATTTTCTTAATGTTGTATCCCTACGTTTAATCTTGTTATTTCCTTCTGAAACTTATGCTTGTCAGATATTGAATATTCTCAATTATTTCTCTGTTTCTTATATTCTCTTTTATTTTACATCTTTAGCTTTTCTTCTATGTTCTGAAGTCTCTCACTTTATTTTTGAGTATTTCTAATGAAATTTTAGTCTTAGTGGCATATTCAAGTTTCTACAAACTTTGTTATTAAACATTATTATATATTATGTACTATTATTACTACTACATACTTTCGGTGTACTTGGCTATTTTCTGAATACTTTATACATATCTCATTTAATCCTCAAAATAATGGTACAATTAGTGTCAACATGTTCAAGGTGAACAAACTGTAACACACAGAGGTAAAGCAATTTGCCCAAGGTCACTGTCCTAATGAGTTTGGGCTGCTGTAACAAATACTATAGATTGAGTGGCTTATAAATAACAGAAAGTAATTTTTTACAGTTGTAGAGGTTGGAAGTCCAGAATCAGGGTGCCAGCGTGGTTGAGTTCTGGTAAGGGTCCTCTTCCAGGTTTCAGAGCGCTGACTTCTCCTTGTATCCTCACATGGCAGAAAAAATGCAAGACAGCTCTGTAGAATCACTTTCATAAGTGCACTAATCTCATTCAGGGCTGCTTCTTCATAACCTAATTACCACTCAAAGCCCTGTTTCCTACCATCATGTTGGGGGTTAGGATTTCAACAATCACCTAGCTAATAAGAGGTGGATGTAGAATTTGACTCCAGGCAACCTGACCCCAGAGAAATTGCTTCATGTTTATTAAATTTTTTTTTTTTTTAAGTGACCAGGTCTTGCTATGTTACCCAGGCTAGTTTTGAACTTCTCAGCTCAAGTGATCCTCTTGCCTTGGCTCTTGAGTAGCAGGCAGATACTACCATGCCCAGCTCAGAAATTGCTGTTTGTTTTTTACTTTTTTCTATTTTAAAATCTATCAAAATTCAAAAGAGTGCGTACAACATGTATGTACAATAATAATAATAAACACTAATAACATGGTCACTCATCTACCCATTACCCAGCTTAAGAATTAGAATGATGCCAAGATGTTATGCCTCCATCATAACATCTTTCAACCCTATGAAAAAGAACCAGTTTTCTGAATTTTTACTTAACTGTTTGTTCTTCTTTATAGTTGCAATAGAAAAGCTTGTATTCCTAAATGATTTACCATTTAGTTTCATCTGTCTTTGCAATTTATATAAATGAATTTATATAGTATGGATCCTCTGTGAGCTTGCTCTTTTTAATCATTATGCTATTGAATTTATACATGTTAATTCAGTTCATTCACTTAACTCTTCCATAGTATTCCATTACATAAATGGAGTACTATGAACTTTAAATTCTTTTTACTAATGATTTACTTTTTGGTTGTTCTAAGAGTTTTGTTACTATAAACAATGCTGCTATGAGCATTCTTGAATATATTGCCTCATTCATTTCGGCAAAGGTTCCTTTTGGGTACAGGCACATCCAGGAAGGGATTATCTGGGTCATACCAGGAATCAGGAAAATATTAAAGTGAATGAAAAAGACAGCAAAGAGATGATGACACCAAGATGACAGTTGTTAGAATTATCTGACAAATATTTATATACAGACCTCATCAAAATGTTTTAATGAGCAATTATGAACATATTTGAAACAAATGAAAAACAGTCTCAGCAAAGAAATCAAAGATATAAAGAAATCCCTGTGGAAATTTTAGAAATTAAAGATACAATAATGGGGCCGGGTGTAGTGGTTCACGCCTGTAATCCCAGCACTTTGAGAGGCCGAGATGGGTGGATCACCTGAGGTCAGGAATTCGAGACCAGCCTGGCCAACATGGTGAAACCGCGTCTCTACTAAAAACACAAAATTAACCAGGCGTGGTGGTGCATGCCTGTTACCCCAACTACTTGGGAGGCTGAGGCAGGAGAATCACTTGAACCCAGGAGGCGGGGAGGTTGCAGTGAGCCAAGATTGCCCCGCTGCACTCTAGCCTGGGTGACAGAGCAAGACTCTGTCTAAAAAATAAATAAATAAATAAAAACAAAACAAAACAAAACAAAAAAACAAACCCAGATATAATAACTGAAATAAAAACTCAAGATAATGGGCTCCACAGCAGAATGGAAGGAACAAAAAATCAATGAACCAGAAAATGGAACAATAGAAATTACCCATTCTGAAGAGGAAAGAGAAAATAGACCATAAAAAATGAACAGAGGCTCAGGAACCTGTGGGGCCATACCAAAAGATCTAACCTTTGTGTCACTGGAGTCCCAAAAGAAGGCCAGAAGGAGGGTGGAGCTAAAAAAAAGTACTCAAAGGAATAATGGCTGGAAACTAAGCACATTGGCAAAAGGCATAAACCAGAGATTCAAGAAGCCGAACAAATCCCAAACAGGATACACCCAAAGGAATCCACACCAAGAGGCATCATAGTGAAATTTCTGCAAACTAAGGACAAAATATCTTTAAAGCAGTGAAGGAGAAATGACACCTTACCCACAAGGCAGTAACGATTTGAATGAGAGTAGATTCCTCATCAGAAATCACGGAGGCTAGAAGGAAGTTGCACAATATTTTTTAAGTGCTGAAAGAAAACAACTGTCATCCCAAAATCCTACATCCAGTGAAACTACCCTTCAGGAAAAGAATTTGTTGCCAGTATACCTACCTTAAAATATTTGCTAATGCAAGTTCTCCAAACAGAAAGGAAACAATTTAAAAAGCAATCTTGGAACATCAAGAAGGAAGAAACAACACAGGAAACAAAAATATGAGTAAATACAACAGACTTTTCTTTTTCTCTTGAGGTTCCAAAATTATGTTTGGTGGTTGAATCCAACATTATAATACTTTCTAAATGTGGTCCTAAGTGTATGTACAGGAAATATTTAAAACATGTTATAAATGAAGGAGAGCAAAAGGACACTAAGGAAGGTACATTTTCTATGCTTCATTTGAACTGGTAAAAATATCGGTTACTGATATCAATCAGTAAACTGATAAGTTGTGTATATATAGTATAATACCTAGAGTAATCAGTAAAAAGCTATAAAAAGTGATACACTAAAAAAAACACACACACACTACAACTAAATCAAAACAGAATTCTAAAAAATGTTCCAATAACCCACAGGAAGGTAGAAAAATGAAAACGGAGAAACAAACAAAAAAACAGAGAAAACAAACAGGAAACAAAAAATGGCAGAGTTAATCTCTACTAATCTATAATTATGTTAAATGTAAATGGTTTGAGCACATCAGTTAAAACAAAAACGTTGGGAGAATGGGTTTGAAAAATTATGACCCAACTATATGTATCAAACTTACTTTCAAATATAATGTTATATGCAGTTTGAAAGTAAAAAGACAAAAATGTATACAATTATTAATGAAAAAATAAAGCAGGAGCTGGGTGCAGTGACTCACACCTGTAATCACAGCACTTTGGGAGGCTGAGGCAGGAGGATCACCTAAGGTCAGGAATTTGAGACCAGCCTGGTCAACATGGTGAAACCCTGTCTCTACTAAAAATACAAAATCAGCTGCTGTGGTGGCAGGCACCTGTAATCCCAGCTACTCCAGAGGCTGAGGCAGGAGAATTGCTCAAACCTGGGAGGTGAAGGTTGCTGTGAGCTGAGATCACACCATTGCACGCCAGCCTGGGAGACAAGAGCAAAACTCTGTCTCAAAAATAAAGAAATAAATAAAAATAAGAATAACTAACTAAATAAATTAATTAATAAAGCAGGAGTAGCCATAAGGTCATATAAAGTAGACATGAGAGCAAAGAAAATCATCATATAAAGTAAACATGAAAGCAAAGAAAATAATCAGAGACTGCATAGGACATATCAGAGACACAGCAGGATATTGTATAATGATAAAAGAAGAACACATAGCAATCCCAAATGTATATATACAAAACTGCAAAATGTATGAAGCAAAAACTGACAGAAGGAGAAATAGAGAAATCCACAATTACAATTGGAGACTTCAATGACCTTCAACAATTGATAGACCAACAAGGCAGAAAATCAGCAGCGATACAGAAGAACTCAATAATACCATCAACTAACAGCATCTGATTAATATTTATAAAACACTCCAATACCGGAATACACCAGAACACTCCAATACCAGAATACACTAGAACACTCCAATACCAGAATATACCAGAATAAAAAATACCAGAATACACCAGAATAAACAATACCAGAATACACATTATTTTCAAATGCTCACAGAACCTATGTAAGATAACCACAACCTCAGCCGTAAAACCAACCTCAACCAAATTAATAGTGAAATCATACAGAGTGGGTTCTCTAAGCACAATGAAATTAAACTAAAAATGAATAATGGAAAGATAAGAGGAAAACCTTCAAATACTAACTAAATAACATTGTAAAGTATGTTAAAATTAATTTTATTTAGTTAGTCTGTAATGACAAGTTGAGCAGCCCTTGTCTGAAATGCTTGAGACCAGAAGTGTTTCAGTTTCAGATTTTTAGATATTAGAATATTCGCATGTACATACTGGGATATCTTGGGAATAAGAACCAAGTCTAAACATGAAATTCATTTAAGTTTCATATACATCTTATACAAATAGCCTGAAGGTAATTTTGTATAATATTTTTAAACAATTTTGTGCTGGTACAACAGCCAGGCGTTCTGGCCCGAGTCGCCGTCCACCGCCACCACCTTGGTCACCAGGTAGCCTGGCTCGGCCGCCCGGGGCACCAACTCGGTACAGGGCGCGGAGCCATTCTGCAGAGGGTACAGCACGAAGGGCGAGTTGTGGTTGGCGTCCAGCACCAGCACACGCACCAGCGCCTTGCTGCTAGTCCCTCTTTTAAATACTTTAATTTACTTATATACGTGTATCATAAATACTTTTTTGCCTCAGTTTCCCTGCCAATAGCCTAATTGTTCTTTTTACTGTGCAGGTGTAACTGTATAACAAAGTAAGTTTTTTGTTCATGCCATTTATGAGTGTATAATTTAGATAATTTATTGTTTATTTTACCATTATTGTTGCTAACAAACTTCATTGTTTTGCATTGTTTGTTGGGACAATTAAATAGTGTACCTCTTGGACTCATGGATTAAATGGCTCATCAGAGATAAATTGCGCTGCTGAAGAATCAAAGGAGAAAGATTGAAGTGTAGAATCTGCACTTCAATCTTTCTCCTTAATTAGCACCACCAGGAAATTTGATTCAAGTTCTAGAGGGGAGTGAACCCAGGAATTGGCTTAAAAGCAAAAACGTACACACAAAGAAACCAAAGCTCGCAAGCAATTATTTATGCATGTGGTCCACGCACTCAGTCTGAGAAACACTGACTCGACTTAAAAGTCTTTATAATGCTCAGATTTCGGAAATGCTATTGACCTGAAACATCTCATGAAGTTATTAGTTTGAACGCGAGGTGGCGGTACAAGCTAAGAGAGTGAATGAAAGCTCTGCAGACTCGGTGGACTCTGTTTCACCCGGAAGCCAAGTAAAAATACAGACCACATTTACAGCTAAAGCTGAGATAGATGTGTCCGGGAAGGCAGTCGTCGCCAGACAAGTTGTAAGAACGAATTTAAAAATCTCTGCAAAGACATCTGAGAGGGTCGACGGTGGATGTGGTGATTGGGAGCTGAAAAGGATTTTTCTTCTGTAATCAGACAATAGACACGATGCAAACTAAAGTACAGAACAAGAAAAGGCAAGTGGCGTTCTTCATTTTATTGATGCTTTGGGGAGAGGTAGGTGCTGAATCGATTCAGTATTCCGTATTGGAGGAGACAGATAGTGGCACGTTTGTGGCCAACTTGACAAAGGACCTGGGATTGAGGGTGGGGGAGCTGGCTGCACGGGGAGCTCGGATTGTTTTCAAAGGGAACAGACAACATTTGCAGCTTGATCCACAGACCCATGATTTACTGCTAAATGAAAAACTGGACCGGGAGGAACTGTGTGGCTCCACTGAGCCGTGTGTGCTACCTTTCCAAGTGTTACTGGAAAACCCCTTGCAGTTTTTTCAGGCTTCCTTGCGAGTCAGAGATATAAATGACCACGCCCCGGAATTCCCTGCCAGAGAAATGCTCCTGAAAATATCAGAAATTACTATGCCAGGAAAGATATTTCCTTTGAAAATGGCACACGATTTAGACACTGGCAGCAACGGCCTTCAGAGCTACACAATCAGCTCCAACCCTCACTTCCACGTTCTCACCCGCAATCGCAGCGAAGGCAGGAAGTTCCCGGAGCTGGTGCTGGACAAACCGTTGGACCGCGAGGAGCAGCCCCGACTCACGCTAACGCTCACCGCGCTGGATGGTGGGTCTCCGCCCCGGTCAGGGACCTCCGAGATTCACATCCAGGTTTTGGACATCAATGACAACATCCCCGAGTTTGCTCAGGAGCTCTATGAGGCGCAAATCCCTGAGAACAATCCCCTCGGCTCTCTGGTTATTACCGTCTCAGCCAGAGATTTAGATGCAGGATCGTTTGGGAAGGTATCTTACGCCCTGTTTCAAGTCGATGACATCAACCAACCGTTCGAAATAAACGCAATCACAGGAGAAATTCGGTTGAGAAAGGCTTTGGATTTTGAGGAAGTTCAGTCTTATGACGTGGATGTTGAGGCTACAGATGGTGGGGGCCTATCAGGAAAATGTTCTTTAGTCGTCAGGGTCCTGGACGTGAATGACAACGCCCCTGAACTCACCATGTCGTTCTTCATCAGCCCCATCCCAGAAAACTTGCCAGAGATCATAGTGGCAGTTTTCAGTGTTTCAGATGCAGACTCTGGGCATAACCAACAGGTTATTTGTTCAATAGAGAACAATCTCCCTTTTCTACTAAGACCTTCCGTGGAGAATTTCTACACCCTGGTAACAGATGGGGCACTGGACAGAGAGAGCAGAGCCGAGTACAACATCACCATCACCGTTACTGATTTGGGGACACCCAGGCTGAAAACCCAGCAGAGCATAACCGTGCTGGTCTCCGACGTCAATGACAACGCCCCCGCCTTCACCCAAACCTCCTACACCCTGTTCGTCCGCGAGAACAACAGCCCCGCCCTGCACATCGGCAGTGTCAGCGCCACAGACAGAGACTCAGGCACCAACGCCCAGGTCACCTACTCGCTATTGCCGCCCCAGGACCCGCA